TTATCAAGTATATGTTTACCTACTGTCATGTTTGTGTACCAGATTTTGTCACCATCTGTCATTTCTGTTTTCTGTTGTTGCCAAAAGTTGTCATTCTGAAAAGAGGGTGAAAAAATATTTTCAGAAGATAGTACAGGACAGTTTTTTGTTGCTTTAGGTTTCACATACTCTGTGCTATGTTTCAGCAGTTATCATGCATGTCACCTACATGACTTAATAGGAGTTTTGTGTTTCTGGTTGACAACCTAGTTGAAGGGGCTTTGAAGTAACTTTGAGTGTGCTTTGGTATGCAGTTCATCAAGTTCAGAGATATTCTCTCCCTCTGTTACATTAATGTAACATGGTGTTCAGTCCATAAATTCTCTATAGCACAGTATAGTCTGTTTCCTGATATCTACTTTTAAGCAGATAGTTCTATACTGGCTGATTACAGATGTAAAAAATAAAACCAAAAACAAACTCAGCGCTTTCCTTTAAACTCAGTGCACACATGCTGAGCTGTATAAACCAGGGGTTCCCAACCGAGCTACGAAGGGTTGGCTGCTGGTCCGCAAGAGGGCTGGCTGCTGGACCGGAAGTGACTGTGGACCGACAAACCGCAGACTGGAAGTGACCAGCATATGGCGAACCAGCAGCCAACCCGTTTTTATACTGAGTATAAAAAAGGGTTGGCTGCCTGCCCGCTGTATGCCGGTCACTTCTGGTCCACAGCTTGCCAGTCCGCAGTCACTTCCAGTTTGTGACTTGCTAGTCCTCAGCACAAAAAGGCTGGGAACCCCTGGGATAAACCACTGTTACAGAATGGGAAGGGGGAAATGGAGGAGAGGGAGCTTGTTCTAGGGGCTCTTCAGTCAGCTCTGGAGGCTGGAGTGGATGAATTGGAGCATGCCACCCCTCCCTCTGGCAGCGGCTGAAAACCCCCCAGACCAAACTCCCTCCTCTCCCTTTCCTCACTCCCATTCTGAAAACAGCAACAGGCTGCAAGACAGCACAGGCAGAAGTTACAGAAGATGCTGTGTTTTTAAATGTCTCTATCTGACCCCTCATGCAATGAGTGTTCAGATTTTTGCCCAATCAGCCATTTCTGAAGCTATCTTCAGCCATGCACTTGCGTTTGGTCATGGCTATACATGACTGTCTGTGGCCAGATCAGGCAAAAATTTTGACTTCTGTCTGCTCTCAAGGTTGCCAAGCCAAGATTTTTTTTTTTTAACCTATGATCTGTAAGCTGTTTACTGATATGTTTTACAGAATGTAAATATAACCCTCCCCTACTGCTCAGTCCCAGTTAGAAGGGCTGGGTTCAAATTTAGGGGTTTAACATCAACCATAGTAAAAAAGTTTAAAATGTTGGTGTCAGTAAAAAGTTCTCAGTAAGAAACATTTTCTTCAGTTGGCAAACTTGCATGGCTGAAGCAATGGTGTTATACTCTGCTGTCCCCTCATGCCCCCCCCCCCAACCACCAGGAACCTCCCACTTACTCTCACATTCTGATGCCCCCAACTGTACTGTGGTACTCCTCCAGCCCATTCCTGGCTTTGCCTTCTTCAGCACTGCCCCCTGTCCTGGCACAGACCTGCAAGGAAGCCTACCTGCAATCCAGCAATATTAAAAACATCTTGGCATGCAGCAGCATGCAAGCAGCAGCACATGGCTGAGAGAACACTTCCTCTTGGACAACAGGTGGCACCGCTGTGCTCTCTGTCTGTCTGAGTTTCAATCAAGCAAGCTGTGGCTGCTTAGTGTTTTTTATTAATGACTAAAGGTTTTTTATGGACTTTACAGACAGAAATTTTCAGCCTGATTTTTTTTACTGACAGTTTGCAACCCTGCATGTGCTCTAAAGCAGGGATGTCAAACTCATTTGGCCCCACAGGCAAGATGAGTGGTGTGGGACCAGTCCATGGGCCAGATGAATGGCATGGGGCCAGTTCTGAAGGCTGGACTGAGCCCACAGACTCCCTCTTCCACCTGCTCAAGCCAGTTCAGGACTGCACTACTCACAGCATCCAGTCTGGCTGGTCTGGAACCCATGCTGCATGAGGCACAGTCCCAGACTGCTCAGGACAAGTGGCATAGCACTGGATCTGGCATGAGGAGAGGGCCTAGATTGCAGAGGGGGTTCCATATGCCACATGCAGCCTGAGTCCAGTGCAGATGCCATGTGCAGCACATGTCCTGGTCCCTACATATGTGACTGGTCTGGAGCACAGCATTTATAGGATATGGGTACATTTAGATAGCCCTGGGGGCCAGATGATGGAACTGGAGCTGGCCCCTGAGCCAGATATTTGACACTCCTGCTCTAAAGATTGAAAAAATACATCAATTAAAAATGCCAATAACAATTTATCTTATCTATCTGTCAATCTATCTGTTATTTTAAATTGAAATTTCAAAAGTGTTATGTATATAGAAACTTCAGTTTCTACGGGGCAGGGCTAGGAACAGAAACCCTGCAATGTGGGAGAGGGGAGGAGCTGGCATGCAAATGAGGAAGGGAGGGGTGGGGTGAGGAAGGGACACCGTGAAATGAGGGGGGAGGGGAGGAGCCGCACCGCGTTG